CCTGAAAACTCTAGAGTGGAGGTACACTGATAGGAGCTGGTGGTGCACAGCAGGCTAGCTGATCGGAATACTCCATATGAGAGCCACGACCACCTGGAGCACCGTGAGAAGCCTGAATCGCTGAATGAAACGTCCTGGGAGGATGGCCTCTGCCAAAAGTACACCGGCCTCCAGATGAGGCCCCAGTGAATCCACCGGAGTGACAAGGCCTCTTGTCAGACCCCTGTCCACTCCCTGAGCTAAAACTATCTCAACTCGTCTGGCCACATTGGCTGCATCCTGGAAAGAAATCTCGCTCCCTGTCTCCTTAGCCATCTGCAATCTAATAGGCTGAGCAAGTCCCTCAATAAACATCCCCACTCTTTCTCTCTCGGTGGGGAGTATAATAATAGCATGACCGGCCAAATCAATAAAGCGGGTCTCGTACTGAGTGACGGACATGCTGCCCTGCTGAAGGCGCTCGAACTGCCTGCGGTAGTCCTCTCTCAATGTAGCAGGAAGGAACTTCTCGAGAAATAGTTGAGAGAACTGGTCCCAAGTCAAACTAGGCGACCCAGCTGGTCTGGCCAAACAAAAATCCCTCCACCATTTCTTGGCGGAAGCTGACAGACGAAAGGCAGCAAAGTCGACCCCATTGGTCTCCACTATCCCCATGTTACGCAACACCTCGTGACAACTGTCTAGATAGTCCTGGGGATCCTCTGAAGATGTACCGCCATAGGTAGTGGTGAAAAGCTTGGTAAACCTATCCAATCTCCACAAAGACTCAGAAGACATAGCCGATCCATCGCCGGTCTGTGCTGCAACACCCGGCGGAACTACCCCAACTAGCTGAGCTGCTGGAGTTTGAAACTGGGGAGCCATCTGCTCTAGAGTGTGAGTAGCGGGAGTCTGGGTTCCTCCCCAGCCTGAGAGACGGATGGTGCTACGGGCAATGTGCCGGCCTGAGCGACACTCTCCATAAGGCCCACTAGATGGACCAAAGCATCCTGAAGTCCCGGGATGGCGATGAACCCCTCTGGAACGTGAGCTGGCCCAGCTGGAACGATCTAGGCTGGAGCCTCCTCATCAAACTCTACCTGAGGCTCCGCCGCTGGTGCTGCTGCTCGAGCTCTAGGCTGAGCCCTGCCCCTGCCTCGGCCTCTAGCACGGCCTCGGCCTCGTCCTCTGCCCTTCGTAGGAGCTGCCAGTAGGGGCTCGGGCTGCTGATCAGCCGATGAAGTGGTACGTGTTCTCGCCATCTGCGAAAGAACAAGAGTAGAAAGTTCAATTAGCATTGAGAGTTCAAATCGCATGACAGAGAATAATAGAAGTGAAATTGTTCCTAAACTCTGTAGCCTCTGGGGATAAGCACAGACGTCTCTGTACTGATCCTCAGACTCTACCTAGCTTGTTCGTGAATTGTGAGACCTAGGCAACCTAGTGCTCTGATACCAACTTGTCAAGACCCGGATTTCCCAACGTCGGGATCGTGATGGCACCTAAATTTTCGGAATGCTAGGCAAGCCAAGAGATAAAGATTCAATACGCTAACCACTAACCAATTCAGTAAATAACAGCAATTAAACTAAATGGATTAAAGGAATACGGAATTTCAAAATAATCCAAGTACTAATACACGGCTACCAAAAATCTGGTGTCACAATTCACGACTTCTAAGAGTCACTACAAACACTAGCTGAAAGAAAATACAACTGTTCTCGAATTAAAAGAAAACAGAAAACTAGGATAACTGGAAGGGGACTCCAGGGTCTGCGAACGCCGGCAGATCTATCTTAGGTCTCCTGTTGGACTGAAGGCAGCAGATCAAATCGGGTCAGCACGGTCCGATACCGAAATCTGCACAGAAAGTGCAGAGTGCAGTATCAGTACAACCGACCCCATGTACTGGTAAGTGCCGAGCCTAACCTCGACGAAGTAGTGACGAGGCTAGGACAAGACACATATATAAACATGTGCAGTTATACAATATGCTAACAGAAATAACAATTAACAGAAGATAAACAGATTTTAGCGGGAGGAAAAACATGCTAAGGGGTATCAAAATAATAAATCACAGCAGTAGAGGAATTTAAAATAGCTAGTAGGCCTTGAACCGATAATAACAAGTAAACACAACAAACTGAAAAATGCACGGCATCACCCTTCGTGCTTTATCACTCTTCCTCACCATATAAATAATTTAAACATGCACGGCATCACCCTTCGTGCTTTATCACTCCACCTCACCAAACAAGAGACAACAATAATAGAGAGGTAGAAATGGCAACAAGAAGTCTTACTTCAACACTTAATTCCACAATACCAATCTCAACTTTGGTTAAAAATCCCATCAACACCAAATTCCATGAAACATGATAAGAACTTCTCAACACATCAAATTAACTAGTCTACATATGAACGATATGATCAAAATATAACATTTCCAAGAATAAAGCTCACTCACATGTTATGACTCGACAACAACGTATAGATACTCGTCACCTTACCTATACATCGTACTCAATAACCAAACACGTAACAAATAAGTAAATAACACCTAATCCCTCAAGCTAAGGTTACCCACAACACTTACCTCGCTCATCCGGCCAAAATCAAGGCCCAATCACCGCTTTTCCCTTCACACAAGTGTCCAGACAGATAGAATCTAGTAAATTATCAACCAAACAATTCAAGTTAAGCCTAAGGAACTACCCATGATAGCAAGGAATTCAATCTAGGCCATTTTGGAAAAAGTCAACAAAAGTGAACACCCAGGCCCTCTTGGTCTGAACCCAAAACTCGGACCAAAACTCGATTATCCATTCACCCCCGAGCCTGGATATACAATTGGTTTTGGAATCCGACCTCATTTTGAGGTCTAAATCCCCAAATTTCAAAATCCCTAGCTTCTAGAAATCTTGTTTTAAGAAGTGAAAGATTGAAAGAAAAGAGTTAAGAATCATTTACCTATGATTTGGGGAAGAACTAGCCTTTGGAAAATTGCCTCTTGAGGTTTAGGTTTTGAAAATTTGAAAAATGAATCAAAAATCCCGTCTAAGTCCCTTTTACACAGCTACAGATGTCGCATTTGCGACCTGAGCTTCGCAATTGCGAAGAACCATCGCAAATGCGAAGTTTTCTACACCTCTGCTGCCTTCGCAATTGCGAAGGTAAGTCCGCAATTGCGAACAAGAACCTCCGCAAATGCGACAAAATAATCAACTCCGTTTTTTACCAAATTTCACAGACATGACTTAAATATTATATTAAACTTGTACCGGGCTCCGGAACCAAAATACGGGCTCGATACCAACGAGATCAAACATTAATCAATTTCTTTAAATCCTTATTTCAGTTTAACAATTTCTAACAAAAATTCATTACTCGGGCTAGGAACCTCCGAATCCGATTTCAGGCATACGCCCAGGTCCCGTATTTTACTACGGACCCCCCCGGTACCGTCAAAACACGGCCGGGTCTGTTTACTCAAAATGTTGACCGAAGTCAACTAAAATCAACTTTTAAAGGCAAAACTTATTATTTTCTCAAATTTCCACATAAAGGCTTTCCGGAAATGCGCCCGGACTGCGCACGCAAATTAAGGAGAAATAAAATGAGGTTTTGAAGGCCTCGGAACACCGGATTGGGTTCTAAAACGCAAGATGACCTTTTGGGTCATCACAGTGGATTAAAACTTCGTTTCCTAGTGAATCGAAGTTCGACTTGGGGCAATTTTTCGGTGGTGAGTTCGACGATCTCCGCTGCATCATAAAGGTACACAATTCGTTGTTCTCGCTCCGTGTTTTTGATCTAACAAAAACTTAAAACACTTATTAAAGTGATAAAATTATAGCTGTAATAATTAGAGTGGAAAAGTATATACAAGATGATTAGTAGCAAAGTTTTTTTTTCATAAGTTGTACTTCTATAGCAGTCCAAATATACATCAACAATAACAATAACAACTTCATTATAATCTCACAAGTGGGATCTGGGAGGGTAGTGTATTCACAAACCTTATCACCTTGTGAAAGTAAAGAGGTTGTTTCTGATAGATCCTAAGCTCAAGGACAAAAGAAAAATAAACAGTAACAATAGTAAGATAAGATGGTAAGATGACCGAAGCGAAACAAACATGTAATAATAGAAATCTAAGAATAACAAAATATAAAAATAATACTAATATTACCGGTATGAGACAAAAATACGCTCGACTACCAACTAACTTTCTATACTAATTCTCGACCTCCACACCTTCATATCAAGAGTTATGTCCTCGATAAGTTGCAGTAGTATCATGTCCTGCCAAATCACCTCTCTCCGTAACAGACCAAATATATAAGGAAAAATACTAGGGAGGGTGGCGCTAGAAGGAAAAATTTCTTTGGCCATTAACCCTGCGTAGGTTCATGTTCAGAGTCAATTCAAGTTTTTGTTTAGTTAACATTGTATTAGTAGTATTAATCAATAAATCAAACTTCTTATTGTCAAATCATAAAATATTTAGACTGCTCTTTTGGTTCATCTACTCTCCCTCGAGAAAACAAAGGGGGTCTCCCTATTCTTCTAATACTTCCAATTTTGGGCGATTTGACTTCATTAGTGCACCACTTTTTTACTTTAAAATATAACGGGCGGTTTTAAACTACATTTCTTTCATATTAAAATGGAAGTCAGCGGCATGACCTTCTCTTTTATCCTAATATAAATTGTTCCTTTTACATTAGTTTAGTGATTAAGGCCAGTTGGGCCGTCCTCCAGATATAGCGGCAGACAAAATCTGTTGAGTAATGTATTGCACCGTCGCATCCGAAGGTTTTGACTTTTCTTTTCTTTTTTTTTTCGAGGTCGAAAGAAAACTATATAAACTGAGTGTAAAGTCAGTGGTTTCAAGCATTAGCATATACTACAAATTAAAGTGAGTGAGAACGAAAAAACTGAGATAAGAGCAGTCAGAGAGAAAGATGAGAAGCTATCAGACAATGCTAAACAATGGTGAAATCCTACCAATTATAGGTATGGGGACTTATTCTGGCGAAAGCGATAGAGAAATTACAGAGAGATCCATTAGAATGGCGCTAAAGGTAATTAATTAAATGCATTACTTCTCTTCTTCAGGTTTCATTAATTTATGGTATGTTTACATGGAAATTATTTAATTTGGGTTATTGTTTCGAGCAGATGGGGTACAGGCATTTTGATACAGCAAAAATATACGGTTCTGAGCCGGCTGTGGGAAATGCATTAAGACGATCAATTTCTGAAGGTTTAGTGGAGAGGGAAGACATTCATATCACCTCTAAGCTATGGTCAAGTGATCACAATGATCCTGTTTCTGCACTTCACCAAACTTTACAGTAAGCGCCCATATGCATGCTTTTTATTTACTCCCTTCCTCCGTTCCATTTCTGCGTGGTACTATTTCCTAAGTACGTTCTAAAAGGAAATATACATTTCTATATATATTTGAAAACAATTTAACTTTAAAATTCTCATTTTACTCTATAATAGCATGTTTTTATAATCAAATAAGTCAATTTTATAACCACAACTTCTTAAAAAATTCTTCTTGTAAAAAAAAAAAAAAAACTTGGTGTCTACTCAAATTGAGCCACATAAATTGAAACGGAGAGTAGTTATTTTCCAGTATAACCTAGGTCGACCAAAGGCGTTAGCTTCTGACAATAGTACTTAAACTAATTTTTCTGCAGGAGGCTAGGGATGGAATACATAGACTTGTATTTGGTGCATTGGCCAGTGGCTTTGAAGCCATGGGTTGATTATCCAATTCCCAGAGAAGAAGACTTTGAGACATTAGACATGGAGAATACCTGGTCTAGCATGGAGAGGTGCTTAGAGATGGGTTTGTGCAAGTCCATTGGCGTCAGCAATTTCTCATCTAGAAAAATTGAAGACCTGCTGGATTTTGCTTGTGTCACTCCTGCTGTGAATCAGGTATATAATCTTGCAACGAGTTTAAGTTCTATGCATAATCAGGTTATTTATTATAAATAAATTTCAAGTAAATATTGGTAACTAACCTCCTATCACAAGTCAAAAATTGCCGTGGTTGCTTGCTTCTAATCTATATATATATATATACGCAGTCTTGTAAACATTTGAGATTCAAAATTCTGAATTAGGTATCTCTTTAGCTGGCCAGCGTTGACCAGTTTCTTCTTCTGCAATTGGGCATGATATTTTGATACTAATTAAATACATGGGGTTCAGGTGGAAATGCATCCAATGTGGAGGCAAAGAAAGGTGAAGGCATTATGTAGGGAATATGGGATTCATGTAAGTGCCTATTCACCTCTTGGTGGACCTGGAAATGCTTGGGGAACTACTGATGTGGTTGATCATCCCATCATCCAATCTATTGCCCTCAAACATAACGCAACTCCAGCTCAAGTAAGAAACGTCTCTAAACAATGACACGCGCACACACACAAAAACGTGCAAATATATACTACATTACAATATGGAAAAATAACTAATTGTTTGAATTTTTCTTTTATTAGGTTGCTCTAAGATGGGGGTTGTCCCAAGGATCAAGCGTTATAGTGAAAAGCTTCAATCCACGAAGAATGAAAGAGAACATTGGAGCCCTTCAATTGAAATTAGACGAATGGGATTTGCATAATATAAATAAGATGGAGGAGAGGAAGATCATGAGAGGAGACTGGCTATCCAATGACACTACAAGCCCTTACAGAACCATCGGGGAACTTTGGGATGACGAGATATAATTCTATCTCTGGAATTGGCCTTTTGGCCAACTCTAAATGTAAAGATAGAACATGCATGAATGTACGTGCTACTTGCATATATTTCGATAAAAGGAAAAATCCAAATTTTTTCCTCATCTATTATTGGAAATGATTAAGATTACCTATGTTATACTTTAGGTCATTTATATCCTTGCTATTAGCAAAGGAAATTTTACCTCCTATAGCGAACTATTACACCCTATTTGAAGGAGCACACGATAATCTACACATTAGATAGCGCGTAAATTGTAAAACGAGAACTTACTTGTTCTTCGTGAAGCGGAAGCGAAAACGGATGAATCGCGGCTGGAATTACTGGTTGGCGGTGGTTGTCACGGTGTGTTGGAGCAACCTCCAATTCCACAGTTTAAACCCTAGTTTAATTGTGGGAGAAGACTAAGCGTAGGAAAAAATACTGCTCAGAGTATATTTTAGTGTACACACTAAGTGTACTTATATAAGTAATATTAGGATTAACTAATAACCCAATTGGGCCTTAGAGCACCCCTTATGGGTGGACCCAATATTTCCTACATCTCCCACTCACACATAATGGGAGTGCTCATCTAGCGTGAGAAATATATATTCTCAACTCATCTCCTCAATCATTCATACAGGGAAGTAAACCGTGCGACCAGCATACTGTGAGAGCTAAGTGCTATACATCTGTTAGGAGTATATAGCCTCTCATCGAGCGCAAACCTGCAAGTAGATCATAAAGTATGCAGTACCCTAGATCATATAAATCACATTTGATATAGTCTCAAAATCTCATATATCATTATTTCTTGTATTCACAATCATAACTCATAAGTTATAATTGGTGCACCAATGAACACAAATAAATAAGATTTCATCAATAATCTTCCTCTTCTCATGATCCCCTTAACATTAGTATGAAATCTTTTCTAGATATGCTCCGCTTGACCGAATTTGTGTACATGATCTTTTGGAAACACACTAAGATAGCTAACATCACACTAAGTCTCAAGTATCTGATCGAAGTCTCTAAGGGTACAAAATCTTAAGCTATCATTAAAGCTCCAGGTCTCACACAACAATAAGTTGAGAATGGACTTATGTTAACCCAATTGGTCGACATTAGCACACATGGTATGAAACATGTGCTACAATATTTTCTCCCCTTTCCCAAGGAGTGTATGCCTTTATCTCATAAAGAATGTTGTACAGATGATATTTAGACACCATAAGTATCTAAATTTGAGTTCTTTGATCTACAATATCATTTTTAACTCACATCTGGCTCACAAAGTAGAATAGGTGAACGTTTTTCACCCTAATGACCTTATGTCATTGTTAAGTGACATTCTAATTTTAAGCGAATAGCTCTCAAATTATCCTTATGATAATTTTGCTTAAAACCATGTCTCATCTCCTCACATCACTAAGATAAGGAGGCAGTTGCATGTGTGAGAAGGCCAAGTTCTTTTCAACCCGACATACTTATCAAAAAAATAAAGAATGCACATAACATTCAAACGATAAAAAATTGTATGTATGTAAATCAACTTTTTTGATAATCAAAGAACATCATTTGTGAACACGGGAAAATAAATAACAAAATAAAGTATCTCAGAGTCTACGCAAGCCTTGAGACCTAGTGTATCTCACAAATGCATCTCTAGACAAAGGCTTGGTCAATGGATCTGCTAACATATCTTTTATAGACACATACTTCACATTCACTACCTTGCGTCTAACCATGTCTCTCGCATAGTTATACTTGCTATCTATATGTTTGGTTTTACAATGAAACTTAGGTTCCTTGGTGAAGGATATTGCTGCCTCACTTTCACAGTAGACTAATACTAGTTCAGTATTTTCAGCGATATCTAACAAGTGCTCCAAGAACTTTTTCAACCAAACAGCTTCTTGTGCTGCTGATGCGAGAGCCACATATTCGGCTTCCATCGTAGTTAGTGATACACATGATTGTTTCTTACTACTCTATGATATGGCCCCATCACTGAGTAAAAAAACATATCCTAAGGTAGACTTCCTCTCGTCTAGATCTCCTACATGGTCAGCATCACTGTATCCAACTAATCGCAGATCCTTGCCACCTTGATAACAAAGGGCATAATCAGCAGTTCCCTTCAGATATCTTATGATCCTCTTTACTGCTTGCCAATGTGCTAAACCTGGGTCGGTTTGATATCTACTTACCAAGCCAACTGCTTGACAAATATCAGGTCTACTGCACACCATAGCGTACATTAGACTTCCGACAACGCTCATATAAGGAACTCGGCTCATTCTTTCTGTCTCTTCAGGAGTCTTAGGACACATCTGACTTCCCAAAGTATGGCCTTTACTGATAGGAGTTTCAACTGAGCTACTATTTTGCATATTGAATCGTTCAAGAACTTTTCTAATGTAATTCTCTTGTGAGAGATACAATAGTTTCTTTGGACGATATCTTGAAATCTTAACTCCAAGAATATATGCAGTTTTCACCCATATCTTTCATCTCAAATTGAGATGATAACCATGACTTTATCTTGGTTATAAACTCCTTATCATTTCCAGCTATAAGTATGCCATCTACATACAATGTTAAAATCACAAGCTTGCTTCTTGATCTCTTGGTATAAACACAATGGTCTTCATCCATCAAGGTAAAACCATTGGATACAAGAACATTCTGAAAGCGTATATACCACTGCCTTGAAGATTGTTTGAGGCCATAAATAGACTTCAAAAGTCTACAAACCTTTTGTTCGTGGCCATTTTCAATGAAACACTCAGGTTGTTCCATATATATTTCTTTATCTAGTTATCCATTGAGAAAGGCGGTCTTTACATACATCTGATTGTAATTCAAGATCCAAGTTTGCAACAATAGCTAGAACCAGGCGAACTGAGGTAAATCGTACAGCAGGCGAGAAAGTCTCTTCATAGTCTATTCCTTTATAGTGTGTATACCCTTTCGCCACCAGTCGAGCTTTATATCTCTCAACGGTGCCATCATCCCTGAGCTTAATTTTGAAATCCCATTTGCTCCCAATTGCTTTGCGTCCTTCAGGGAGGTCAACTAGTTCCCAAACTTTGTTGACTCTCACAAACTCCAATTCATCTTCCATTGCTTTTGTCCTATTATCCTTAGAAGGGCATGAGAGAGCCTCTTTTACATTTTTAGGCTCGTTTTCTTTTCAACAGCAAATCGTCAGCGAGGAATCTTCTTACGAGAACCACGTCTTACTTGTGATTCATCATTGATCCTATTTGGGTCAATGTTGCTCCCACTCGGATCAAGATCATTCATCCTGCACCCACTTGGAACAAGATCCATTTGGTCACTTCCACTAAACGTAGAAGGATTACTCTCATTCGCATCTGATGATGAAGGAGGTCATTGATGAGAAACTAATTCATCATCTACTAAAATTCTCCCACTCGAATTAAGTGATCCTTGTACTTCTTGATCCACCATCTCAAATAAGGTTAGGTCTTGACCTACCTCTCCCTTCTTAGGGAACTCATCCTTTAAGAATATGACATCTTGTGATTCAAACTCAGTTACACTCTCACTGTCTTGCTGACCTATAAACACATAACCCTCTGAGGTTTCAGAGTATCTTATAAAGATACTTTTCTTTTCCCTCGGGCCCAATTTGCCATATTTGTGAGAGGAATCATGTGTATAGGCAGCACAACCCCAAGGTTTTAATACACTCAGGTCGGGTTTTCTTCCGTTTCATAACTTATATAGAGTAGTAGTAACTGATTTTGTAGGCACTCGGTTAAGCGCAAAGGTTGCAGTAAGCAACGCATCACCCCAGTAACTAATTGGGAGGTTAGCGTGTGCCATCATTGACCTAACCATTTCTAGGAGCATTCTATTTCTTCTCTCCGCAACACCATTTTGTTGTGTAGTATTTGGGATAGTCAACTGATGAACTATTCCCTTTTCATCACATAAATTATTAAATTGGGTTGATAAGTATTCACGACCACGGTCAGTTCGAAGAGCTTTTATCTTCTTGTCTAATCGATTTTCTACTAAGCTCATATAGCATTTGAAGCAACTTATTGCTTCTGATTTGTGGGAAATCAAATAGACATAACTTCGCTTGACCAAAAGGTTTTCTTGCAGATTTTCTAGCTAGACAATTTTCACACGTGGACAATTCCGCATGTTCAATGCTGGAAAGCAAACCTTGTTTTTCTAACCTTTGCATTCTTTGTTGCCCAATATGACCAAGTCTAGCATGCCATATGTTTACATCACTATCATATTTTTGTGAAGAAACAAACATAGAAAAACTAGCATTATTGACACGTTCGGGACGTCTGTCCTTGCCTTTTTCAGTCTTTGATCTTTTAGCAGGCTGAACTTGAGGTGGCCCTCTCTTCTTTTCCCAGTTCCTTTTCTTTGAATCACTCTTGGTTTTGGAGGTTGTTTTCATGTGCAACTCAGCTATTGGCTTTGCAGCCTCAAGTTGTTCCTCCTCTAACTCAAGGTGTGTCCTGAACATCTTTCAAAGTTGTGATTCTTTCATTATGGGTCAAATGCATTTTCATATGATCCCAAGAACTAGGTAAAGAGCGTATGACAACTTGGATTTGTTGTTCATCAGTGAACACATGACCAACATCTTTCAACTCCCCGATCATATTTGTCATTTGCCTTAGATGTGTTTTCATTGAATGTTCTGGGCGTTTCTTATATGAGTCAAATTTGATCGTTAAGGATCGCAGCCTTGCAGTGGAACAAGTACCAAACCTTTTCCTCAAAGCATTCCAAAGATCCATAGCTCTTTGGTGATCCTTAAACTCCCTTAGAAAGTCGTCATCTAAGTTGTTCAACAACGTAATGCGAGCAATGGAGTTCTTTTTCTTCCGACTGTTATAGGCTTCACGCTCACGCCTATGCTGAGCAGTGTTGCCTTCCTCAGGCTCATTCATGACATTGTTAATAGTCTCCAGAGCCTCTTGCTCCTCTAGCACATACTGGACTTTCAAGCTCCAGGATTCATAATTGTCACCATTGAGTTTCAACCCTTTGTTGAGCTCAGAAACAATGTTTCTCGAAGCAGTAGTCATTCTTTAACAAAATAAAAAATAAAATGAG